ACTTAAAAAGAATTACAAGAATACGATGTCTTCCTGGTGAAAAGGAGAAACAGAGAGCAATAAAACACACATCTGTCCAGAGACACACGCAGAGCCAAAGGCGTGGCAAGCTAGCCACGGAGGTGCTGATGCTGGTGACCATGGAGCGACCCAAGCACAGATGATACTGACCTTCTGTCTTTCTGTTTATCTGTGTTATTCATGTTTTCTGCAGCAAAAATGTATTACAAAGAAATGACAAAGATGATTTTTTAAATGTGTATAAAAAAAAAAGGAGGCCCTGTGTCCCCAAGAAAAACAGATAAAGAAATTCTTCCCTCAGAAATAGAAACCAGGGCCGGGGATTTAGCTCAGTGGTTCCGCCGCCTGCCTCGCAAGCACAAGGACCCGAGTTCGATCCCCAGTACCAAAAACAATATCAAAAACAAAACAAAACAAAAAAGAAATAGAAACCAAACCTTCAGTGCGTTTCCTGCAGACGCAGAAGGACAGAAAACTACTACGCAGCGCGGGCTGACAACAAACTAAAGACACCAAGTGTGCAGCTGGCAGAAACTCGGACCATGGACACAGGCACCCTGGAAGAAAGGTTCCACAAACTCCAATTCCAACAACGCACGCTAATATCAGAGGCGAAATGAATACTCAGTAACAAACAACAGTTCACTTATCAATGAGTGTGGATTAACCTCAGTTACGTTACAAATACCAAACAGGCTAGAAGAACCTTGGGCATCTCGGCAGCAGGATCTCAAGGCTCCTGGTTTCTCCCAGGCTTCATTGTTTTTTCAGATGTATGTATCGACAAGAGTCAGAGAGATTTCTGCTTGCTGGGAGGAGTAAAATAAAATACACTACAGGGTCAGGGATTTAGCTCAGTGGTGCTGCCGCCTGTCTCGCAAGCACAAGGTCCCGAGTTCGATCCCCGGTACCAAAAATAAAATAAACTACAAACTCTACATTATATAGACCAGTTGTCTCAAAATACTTTGATAATGACACATGGGGGAAATTTTCTTATATCCTCCATATTTATTTATTTATATTTATATTGTATTCTTACTGTGCATTATATAATAGAAAATGAAATTCTAAGATGATAGGATGAAAATGAAAAACTTTTTCACAGAATCAGCTAACATCTCAAAATGACATACGCTTAGGTGAGACTGAGGACTACAGTTTAAAATTTAAACTTCAAATCATATACGTTCTTCATCCATGCAGAAAATACTCACACTTGCTATAAGCCCTGAAAATAGTATGCTGAAAGAGGCCAGACACAAATGACCACATTATCAGCTGACTCCATTCACAGGAAACATAGGGAGAAAAAAGCCCACAGAGACCGGAAGTAGGCTGGTGTCTCTCAATAGCGGGGGGAATGGAGGGAGACACCTGGGGGTCCCAGAGGTGTGGAGCTTCTTTTTGGGGTGACAGAAATGTTCTGAAACTAGACACAAGTAATGGGTGCATGTTGTGAACATACTAAAAAGCACTGAATCACATACTTTTCACGAGTGAATGCTACATTCTTTCAGTTACAGCTCAATTTGTTTTTTGTTTTTTGTTTTTTGGTACCAGGAATCGAATTTGGGACCTTGCACTTTCGAAGCAGGTGGCAGAACCAATGAACTAAATCCCTAGCCCAATTTTTTCTTTTTTTAAAAAAGTATCAATAGGGCCAGGGATTTAGTTCAGCGGCACCTCACCTGCCTGGCAAGTGCAAGGTCCTCAGTTGGCTCCCCAGTACCAAAAAAAAAATATCAACAGATAAATAAGCCAAGGGAAAGACATCACATCTCTTTGGCCCATTACGGTTTCATCTCACAACGCACTGGCCATTCCCTTGCTGTTTGCTTGGCCTTAGAGTAATAATCTGGAGTTTCCCCTGCTGGCATCTTTTCAAGCCACGTGCAGTCTTTATGAGGTTAGTTTAGTTGAGTGACGTCCTTAAAGCCAGTCACTTGCACGTTCACCTCAGCACACTACAAATCCATCATGGCAGAAGCGGGCTCCTTCCTCAGCACCCTCGGAGGACGGGCCTGCTGCACCCCCACCCACCTCAGAGCCCGAAGGTGGGCTCCTCGCTCATCCTTCACACTCAGTGAGACGGAAATGAAGATGAAACGTGGAGAGATCCTCGACACTCTTCCTGTCCCCAGAGGTGACCCTGCAAACTCGGCCAGGGAGTCACAGGAGCCGTTCTGCACCCTGGAGTCACCTGGTCCACCTGAGAAAGCTGCAGACCTGGGTGCAACTCCCAGGGCTTCTGACTCTGGCCCGAGACTTGACTGTGAGGCAGATGCCTCGCTTTAGGAAATGGTGCTGCAAATCCACTGGCCAGCAAAAGGTCAGGGGACAAGGGACAGGCACAGGGCACCCTCAGGAGGGGGACACTCCTAACACGCACTGGCTGTGATGGTTCTACACGCTTAACTCGCTAAAAAAATCACCAAACTGTGCACTTTTCAGGGCTGGGGTTTTTTAAAAACTGTTAAAAACTATGAAAAAGTCCTTGTGTGTCTCATTACAAGAGCAGCCACATGCTCCCCAAAGGATCTGCAGATATCCAGGAAGGAAGATGCACACAGCCTCACACAGACCTCACTCCACAACCTTGAACTATCGGAGACACAAGACCAAGGCGACATCCATTTATGAGCTTCCGCCGGGAAGGAGCGTGAGACAGAGTTCATGACAAGACGTGTCATTTTCTGACTTTTAACACTTTTCAGAGTGTTATCTGTGCGAAACTGAGAATGAACCATAAACACTGAAATAATAGACAAATTCCCCAAGACAGAACAGCTTCTGTAAATACGACAAGCTCTTAAAAATCCCACCAACACAGACCAGGGCGTATCTCCGCCAGACACCCGTGTGGGAAGCTGTCTGGCATAATCCCCGGCAGGCCTGCCCTCTGTCACAGGGAAAGGGCTGCTCCGGCAGTCAGACAGCAGGCCCTGCAGAGGAAGGAGGGTGGGGCCGGGGAGGAAGGGAGGAGGGGGCTATTCCAAGACAGAAAGGTGCCGGCTCCCGCCCTGAACTTAGAGCTGGGAGGGGACACTGCTCACAGCTCCGAGCCCTCTGAGCAAGCAGGAAAGAGACGGGAACCAGTGCGGGTGGCCAGGCCCAGAAGAGGGTCGACTCTGTGGGAGGAGGCGTGAAGACAAACGGCCAGACAGGTGATGGACGTGGTGGCAGCTGGCACTGCGGGATGGGCGGGGCGGAGGCCAGAGGCGATGGGGGGGAGCACAGGAAGGACTCGAGTCCTGAGATGGCCCTGGGGGGAGGGGGTCCAGTATCCCCAGAACCTCAGGGAGAGAAGGAAGTGTTGGGAATGAGGAAAGTATGTTGGGACCCTAGCGACACTATCTGTAGGGCCACAGCAGGACACCAAGCACGCAGGTGTGCGGTAGTCCCAAGCCTCAGGGCGGGGCTGGAGACAGAGCGGCACCTACAGGGGATGGGAGAGGACCGCCCAGGGGCAAGATACCAGGGCCCAGGACAGAGCCCTGGACGCACATGGCATCCTGAGGAAGATGGTCGGACGGTCAGAGGCAGGGAAAGGGAACGGGGACTGCATGGCTTGCTCTGCCTGGCCAGGGTCACACTGCATGGCTTTTTAGTAGTCCTAAAGAACATCTCTGAGAAAGGTCCATGAATCCACCCAGACTAGCCATAAGGCCCACCCTGGGAGCCTAGAAGGATTACAGGATGATACGGCTGGCTGTAAATGATGACAGGAGATGAAACAAAATAACTGCTCTCTAGCTTAGTCCACCCTCACACACTTCCCACCCAGGTGCTTTCAGGAGGGTGTGGAATTTCAGGTTTGTCTGCCAGCAAACCTTCCAGAACATTCGGTGTTGAGTAAAACTGTGTCATGAAGGACTCAGGCCTTCTGCCTTTAATCTTTACACAGATAAAGGTATTTCTTCCCATCTTTAACAGGACTTCTGGCTATGGAATCATTATCTGTCTTGACAAAGGTATTATTTCCAAACAGGCACCACAACAAGGAGCTGTTCTAACAGATGGAAGATGGCTCAGAATTACCTAGGGATTGTTTTCGTTGTCTTGTCTACTTTTGAAACACAGAAACCCAGGACCCTGCCCTAGTCTCAGTGAATCAGAGCCTCTACGGTCACAAAATGTCTTTGTAAGGCTGGGGACTTAGTTCAGTGGTGCCACCACCTACCTCACAAGTGCAAGGTCCTAAGTTCGATCCCCAGTACCAAAAAAAAAAAAAAAAAAAAAAAGTCTTTGCTTTCCTTGCTGTTTTGCTCTGAAACAGCAGTAGCAATTCTGATGAGCAGGGATATGGGGATTCAACTGGTCAACTTTTACGAATATGAGGACGCTTACCAGTAAGTAACATCTTCCTGAGAAATTAAAAATCTATAGGAAAGAAAAGCCAGGAGCAGAGAAGTTCCAGTATTTCCTGATAAATTCACTTTTTCTCAGGGCAGCTGGAGTGAAAGTGGCTGGGGTCAGGACGACCACAACCACTCTGCAGGTCCCTGGTCTGGCTCGGAGGCAGGGAGAAGTGAAAAATAAACACATTCATGAACTTGAAGAGCAATCAACTGATAGCTTCCCAAAAGCTCCTTCCGGTGCTAGTTAGCAGGCAAATCGCTTTCTCTTCAGCTTACCCCACCTCCATCAGCACTTCAGACACGGGTCCTGCGGGTGAGGATGTGGGGATGCCTCAACTGCAGTTTTGTTCCGCGTGTCAAGGACCAGCAGTCGCTGTGGGTCTTGGAGGGATCGTTACTGGGGGAAGTGGGGGGAGACTGCTAAAAGATACAGGGTTTCCTCTCGGGGCGAGGAACATGAACTGCCTGGGGTGATGGTCGCGTGACCCTGGATATACTAAAATGCACAGACTGCACACTTCAATGGGCAAATGGAATGGCACTGTGAATTATACCGCACGCAACAGAGCTGTGAAAAGTGCACAGAAGTGTTACGGCTGTTAGAGCGGAAGGCTTTACCTGGGTGTAAATACTGAATATGTGGCTCTGTACTTCATCCATGGAGTCGAGGCCATAGGCCACTGTGCCCAGATGCAGTCGTTTGAAAACCATCTCGTTCTGGGTGAGAGTTCCTGAAATACAACACAGACGAGTGACTGTGCCTGCGTCCTCGGCATTCACCCCTGTGACAGTAATGACACATCCACCCTCCTCTGAGGGTCCCCTCCTTGCCCCAGCTGGCTTCAGTACTGCTGTGCTGGAGCACACAGAAGAGGTTTTCCGCTTGCTCATTCCCCTTTGAAAAATGGCACTCACAGCCAGGCATCTTCTGGCAATCCCAGCACTCAGGTAGCTGAGGAGGCGGAAACACCATGTGTTCAAGGCCAGCCTAAGCCACACAGTGAGTTCGAGGCCAGCCTGACAGACTGAATACAAAGCGAGAGACCCTGTCTCAAAAAGAAAAAGGCAACTTAGAGCTGGGAGTGTAGCTCAGCGACTGAGCACTTGCCTATCATGTCCAAGGCCCTGGTTTCCGTCCCTAGGACCAAGAAAAAGAAGTGTCCCGAGTTACCACGGACAAGACTATGCCCACGCCCTGGGGAGGCCCGGCAGGACTCTCCATCAGGGCCTGACGTGCTCCTGTGGCCAAGGGTTGGGGTGGCACATGACATACACGAGGCCAGATTCCGAGACCTGACCCCTGAGCAGAAGGACCCCTGGCTGGAAGAGGAGGACACTCACGTCACCCCAAAGTCAGCCCTACAGAGCCCACCGCAGGGCCCTGGCCTCTCCGCCCTAAAGCCTCCCCCGTGCGGATCTTCGAGACAGCTTCCCTCCTGCGTTCAGCCACTGCCTTCTTCTCCCCACCGGGACAAACCCACAGCCAGACAAACAGGGGAGCAGCACTGGGGTGCGGCTGTGGGGTCACGACTTGAGGTCACACTGCCCGAGATCGGCACCTGCTTCGGCCACTCTGTAAAACGTTACCCAGTGCACAGGGCCAGCGGGGTAACTGAGGAGCTGCTCAGCAACGCCCGTGCGGCACTGAGCTCACACGCCTGGTCCCAGGGAAGCACCTGCTACCATCTCTATCGGCGCGGTCAGAGCACCGCGGTCGCTCTTCATCTGGAGAGGAGCGGATAGCGGCTCTCATCTCTCATCTCTCGGGGAGAACTCAAGAGCTCTGGTCAAGCGCTCCTGTGTCCTGTACCCCGAGTCCTGCACAGCCCCCGGAAGCACTCACCGGTCTTGTCTGTGAGTAAGTAAGAAATCCTGCCCAGCTGCTCAGGAATCGTGCTGGATCGAACCACAGTCCCGGGGATCTTCGAATCCCGCCGAATCACCCAGCTGTACACGATCTTGCCCATGTCCAGGTTCACGCGCAGACTAGTCAGGAAGCCAGAAATGTAGGTTAACGGGCACAGGCGAGGGCCCATGCGTCCTCTACACAGCCCAGACTAAACACACAACGCCTGCAGACAAGATCAGCCCGCCGGAGGGGCGGCACCGAACATGGCCCAGCTTTTACGAAGCCATTCCGTTCTGACCAAAGTCACTTCAAACACAGCCAAGAGTAGCTGTGTCCTCCTGTCTTTTCATTTTTTCTTTTCACAGTACTGGGGATTGAAGCCAGCATCACGCACACTAGCCAGGCACTCTGCTACTGAGCTGTATCTCCGGCTCCAGCTTTTACTGTCTAATTACTGGTCTCCTGAGGTAATACACTGTGCTACTATAATCTTTTTTTTTTTTTTTTTTTTTT